TCTAGTATCAGTAGTTTACAAAAGAACTTTCTAGTATTATGGTTAAGCAAAAGGAAAAATCACTGCAAAGTTAATGTACTTATTCCGTACTCTGTTTCATTAATTTCCTAAAATTTCTGTAGAATGTTATTGGATAATTAGATAACCATAGCTCTTGTTGTTTCATACATAGTTTCCTATGTAAATTAATTCATACAATTTACATGTGACATAAGCTTGAAAATGTGTCTTTCAGTAAACCCATCTTCTTTTGTATTCTGATCGACACAGACATGAAACCAAAGTGAACTTGGATTACTCCTCATAGCATTGATATTGCTTCCACTTGCAACAGTCCTTCTCTTAATGAAAGAACAAGAGGAAAGCAGGCTTCTTGCAAGGTGTTGAAGCATATTTCCTCTTCTAACTATATCATAGGAAACAAAAAGTTCTTGATTAATGAGTTCAATGAGAAGCTATCTACTGAGTGGGCCTTAGCGTTTTCCTTCAGTTACATTTGGGAAGTGGCTGAGGTAGGAAAGAAAGAAGAGGAAGGGAGAAAGCTGGATTCCCTCCTTTGTTGGAAAAGCCTTACTCCAAAAATATTGATAAAGCCCTATATTTGAATGACTATGGTCTTTCCTATGTCTTGAAACTGGCAGAGCTCTTGAGAAAAATAGCATATAATTATTGCAGTTCAGATTATTACTGGTAATGGCAATGGTATAGAAATGAATGTCTAAGTTAAACCACATCATTCCCACTGGCAGTATTTTATACATGGAGGTCCTTAGTCTTCTCATGAGGATAGTGTCCAGATGACTGCCGGCACTTCATAGACTTTGGCCAAAACAGATGGGAAAGAAGGAAAGGGGACAACAATCGTTTAGCTTATCTTGTTTGTTGGTTGATAGTTTTCTTTAACAAGAAACTTCACAGATTTCTAGTAGGGCCTGTTCTGGCCACTAAACGACAGTGAGCTGACATGGTTTCTTTTCACTAGAAAAATAAGGTTTGAAATGTAATAGTAGAGGGGTAGATTGGACCGGAGACAGACATCAGGTGAGCGTTTGTCATCAGGTGCTGCTGGGTTTGAAGATTCTTCATACTCAGCAGGCAACATATCAAAGTTGTTTAGTCTGGAAAACTTGTGAAAAATGTTGGAAATGCTTTGGAAATGCGTTGTCCACTTTTAACAAAATGAAACAAGAAATTGGAAAATTACAAAATAGGCTAAGGGGAAAAAGCTTCAGAAGTCCTGTAGATCACCTGTTTTGAAATCAGAGACTACAGATAATGGAAGTCAGTCTAGGAAGAAGAGAAAGTTTCTATAAAAATGACATTGGATTTCAACCATCATTTAAAATACATATTTTCTGCTTTCTATACAGTTTGTGAGAAAAGAAAGAGATTCAGTAAAAAGAAACCAAAGACATTTAGAATAAAATAATCTCACTCTGAATTGAGGAATGAACATTCATTATTCAGTTCAAATTTGAAAAGACAAAGAAAGTTATCAGGCTAAATTAACAGGAGCTGACAGTGCTATAGATGACTCATTGCAATTCAAAAATTTTATAACAGTGTAGAGGAAAATATAGAGAGCAGATGGTGCAAAGAATCCTCAGTACAAAACTGAGATCAACACTGAGATCAAGAGCCAGAAACCATCCTTCAGCCTAGTACCAGTGTCAAGAAAATGCTGCCATTAAAATGATTAAAAGTCATGCTGGGTTTCAAGCTTTTTTTTTTTTCTTTTCCTCAAATGGTTTTAGTGGATAACCAAATTAGAGCTCTCCTGCAGTTACTGGATTTGAAGAAACTAATTAAAAGAACTTCCCATTGATTCATCATAGGAACATTTTAGCAGTCTTAATATACAAGCAAATAGGATTTACCCATCTTACAAATTTCCAGTTAAAGAGACCTCTAACAATGAATGGATAACATCTTTAGGGTCTAAATTATTTCTGTTCTACTGAGCAAATCTTATAAGAAGCTGAAATTTTTCCAGTGAAAATATTGTTTTTAAAATGATAGTAACTGAAAAAATAGAAACTTGGGTAGCTGGAACTTTTTATTACTTAGTCTTATTTGCCTATCTCTTTGTACAATAAATTTCTGATGGAAATCCATTTCCTTTTTTAAGTAATTATTTCATCTTAAGTAATTATTTCATCATACAGGTAAATTCTTAATTATTTCATCTTAAGTAATTATTTCATCATATAGGTAAATTCTGTATGAAAAATAGTAGTATCCTTCTGAATGTATAAGAAATGGTTAATGGCTTTTGTTTTTGTTTTATCGTAATTGTGTCTGGTGTGTAGGTTTTTTTGTTGCTGTTGTTGTTTTTTATAAAAAAGTCACAAATACACAATATCCAGAGCCTTACACACACACACCTTCACATTTTGATTTATAGGATGCAATGCTGGCTCTGTGGTACAGGTATGATGTGAGCATGGGACCTTCAGTTTCAAGCGCAGGTCAAGCACAGCTGTTTTACAGGTGAAGCAATTATCTTCCATTATTTTTCTCTGAGCTGTTTCCCAGGGAGAAGACATTGGCTACCTGCACAAATGGAAGAGTTACTGCAGTGAACTCAGAGAGAATACGTACTTAAATTGTTGTAGAAATTTGGAAATCAGAACCCAAAGAAAAATGCACCACATGTTAGGTCATAATTTGAAGAAGTGTAATACCAGTAATCTATATTTTTAAGAGCCTAGAAGGATCAAGTGTTTTCTGCAGGCATACTCAATCATTTTGCAAGGATTTGGCTATCAGACTGATGAATGCACACTGCAGAGAGGTGAAGTCATGGTGTGCTTGTGAGGGTGGTCCAGCTGGAGTCCCTCACGCACACGGGGTGGATCAGAAAAACCTGCAGAGCTCCCTTAGCCTCCACCTTGATGCCAGTAAATGACTCAAAACTGCAAATAGTAAACAAATATATATGAGCAATTGTCTTCATAGGCCCTTGATCAATGTTTCACAAATATAAATCCATTTTTGCTGCCTCGTGTTTTCCTTTCAACAACCCTGTCTTTGTTCCCTACTTAGAGTAGCTGATTTTACCCCAGAGTGATATTACTAGAATTCAGTTTCGCCCTCAATTTTCAAGAATAAAAATTCCATTTTAACTGAGGGAGTAGTTGTATGTTCCCAGGGGTAACATTTTGGCCCAGAACTTCTGAATGTGTTTTATTCATTTGTTTGTCTATTTTGCTATGTTCAGTTATATGGTGCTGTTTGAGGTCTTCCTGAAAAGTAGACTGATCCTTTATTCAGAAAGACAGGATTCTTTTTTTCTCTTTACCTTCCATCAGACCTATGGTTAAATGGTGTAAGTATGGATGGGGGAAGGTTTCCTGTGTAAGCTCTGTTTTATCCATATCACTTTTGGTAGTTTTTTCTTCTATTGGTTATTTTCTGTTGGCCTGTTAGCTTTTTATCCCATCGTAGAGACTCGTCTGTTGTACCACAGAATAGTTATCCACAGGGAGGACTATAAGTGGGTAGAGGTTTATTTTCTGTCGCGCTGACACAGAGAAACCGAGATTGTTATATGTGTGTCTATGTGCAGAGCTTCCCTTCTTTCAAAGGAAAACAAGCTGTTCTGTTTTCTTTAGTATTTGTTTCTAGCTTTTATTTATTGATTTCATTTCTTAAACTTTCTGAAATGTTTACAGGGAAGTAAACAAAGGTGAGGAATTTTGTGACTAGAAGCAGATTCCTATTTCATTTTACTAGGGAGGCTCCTTTATTCAAAAGATAAAAACTGAAGCCATAAAAGTATGTTATTTTTAGAGGCAGCTCCTTAGGAGCTTAGAAGAGGTTAAGTATGATTCATAATAGAGAGGAATGGGGGAAAGTGTGTAATAAGGTGGTATATGTTATTGCAGTGACAAATAGGGAAAGGTGTAAACCACTGGAAGAACCTTTATATATATATATATATGATCCAGTCTCAGGAAGCTGGTAGGACTCTGATGTGCTGTTCAGTAACTTATTTGTTCAGCTTTCTCTGTTGTCTTCAAGACTGTTGAAAGATGTGACTGTTTTGTTGTTACCTTTAGGAAAGATTCATGTCAATACTTGTAAAGCAGCTTTAGTATCTGGAGAGTATTAGACATATTTTGCCATACTTGACCAGTTTAATAAAAATAAGCAAATAGAGTTTCTTGTAATTGAATTTTTGTCCCATTTGACATTATTACATAGAATGTCCTTCTATATCCTTCTTCTTTTCCAAAAGGGCAGCAGATCCAACTCCCAAAATCAGTTAAAGTGAGATGGCTTTGTTCTTGGGTTCATCCACCCATGTTGGGCCCCTTCTGAAAGCTCCTGGAAGCAGTTCCTGCTCACTGCACAGCTGCAGCCCTGTGGTGTCAATTACTGTAGGTAGGTTGGGGCACTTCTGCTTTTGTGGCTTGCCCTAACCCTAACCCTGCCGCTGCCCTCACCCTAACAAGCCAGCTGTTGAATACACAGGCACTGCCCTGATGGACTGGAATTCTTTTGCTTCTGCCAACCCAGGTAGCAGGAACAGAGTATATTATGCCTGTTTTAGCTTGTGTCACATTAGTTTATCCCAAGGAGTAAACCAAATGTTTGTTCTACTCTAGCAAAACTATAACACTTAGCATAGGGTACCCTGAGTTTAGAATCTACTGTCTCTGAAACACAGCACTGCACTGGACATGATGTCCTCAGAGTGAGCATCCTGGTCATGCACAGACAGTGGTGGAGACTGACTCAGGAACTTCTTTCTGGGTGAGAATTTTTTGTGTATAGCCATTTCTCAGAAGCTGGTCTGCACTTTAATAAAGGAGTTACTGGTGTGTACTTGAAACATTAATTCCAGGTTATATGGTTTCCCTGAGAATTGCCATCTGTCATGCTTTTCTGCCTGGAGGTCACTCAAAGTTACCTCGGGTTGGTATCGTAAGACAGTAGGTTGAAAGGATAAACAGTGTACTTTGTCTTTAACCAGTAGTTATCCTTTTCCCTTTCAGCACCCTCCTTGATAGGTATGGTAAGGAAGGACTGGGCTTCCCAAAACAGCATTGCCCTCTCCTGGCAAGAGCCGGACTTTCCCCATGGAGCCATTCTGGACTACGAGATCAAGTACTATGAGAAAGTAGGTCTCACAGCATCACCCAAATTCAGATCCTAAAGAATAATATGTTTCATATTTTTAATATTTAAAAAATACTTTAAACTTTTCACTTGATCCCACAATACAATGCTTTATCAGTAGACATTTTGTTTTGTATTGAGTTTTTGTTGTAATTCTGACTTGTTAATGACTGTCTTGTTTCTTGTCAGAACCAAGTAAAGCAAGCAGGCAGTGGGTACACTTGTTTCATAGTAGCAACAATTATGAACATAACAGATCAGATACTCAAACATATTTTGATACAAGAACTGTAAAAGCTTTATATTGGAATAGCACTGAAACAATATGACGAAGGTGAAAGTCAAAATTTGAGTTAATTTTGTGGCGTTATTTTGCAATAATCTGTGCTTAAATGACAGAGTCCATCAGCCTTGTTTAGAGGGTTACAGATAGAGTTAGAAAGTGCAATGAAGTTTTATCAGATTTCTGATATTTTGTCAAAATTATTTGGTTTCACATCAAACTGGACAATCACATGCACTACAAGAAAAGATACAACGTCTTATGAAAGCATAATCTGAAGCCTGCTTCTCCCAAAGCAGAAAACACAGTTCATCATTTCCAGCTGGCTACAGGATCTTGCACAAGTGTAAAATTTAATGTTAATCAGTGGCTTTATTCCTAGAGATACAGGAAGGAAAATCGTGGTGTCTATGTCTTAAGCAGTAATATGCTGTCCTTTTTGCTGTTTCTCTGTCCCCATCTGAAAGTCACAATGGAGCTAATGGATAAGTGAGAAGATCACAAAGAACAGAAATAAAAGCCAAGACATGAAAAATAGATTTAATGATTTTAAGCTCTGTAAATATCAGAATTTCCTTCCTTGGCAGCCCTTCTCTATGGAGATTATGCAGCTTTAATGATGCAGAAAAAAAGAGTAAACTTGAAAAAAATTCAAACAATTTAAATAGTATAGCTAGAGAGAAGAAACAGATGATTGCTTAGAATATTTGGTAGCCAAAGCAGGATAAACTTATTTTCATGCACTAGTGGAGCTCTTTCAAGTTTTGATCCATTACTATAGTAAACTACACTATGACTTGCACTGACCAGTTTTTGTTTATCAATATTAAAATAACAGTCAAGTGAATTAAAATAGACTAATGTATACACTTTACACCTTAGCAAAGTTACACCTACACCAAGTAAAGTTTATACCTATACTTTAGTCTGTTTACACTTTAGTCTGTTTCTACAGTAAAAGTACTATTTTCTGCTCTTTTCTAAAGTCTACAGAGTACTTTTTTTTTAACTATTAACTTCTCTAAGCTCTTAGGTGTAGGGAGATAAATGCACTGCTAGCATTTTCCAGTACTCTGGTATAGGTATTATTTTCTCCCTAAGTCACTAACTGGCCTGCATGCACAGCTCTTGAGTATGCCTTTTATTAGTAAGTTATAACAGGTGTGCTTTCTTTTGTCAAAGCTATGTAATAGGTAGAATGAGAGACATACAACCCAGCTCCCTCAGTAAGCAGGTCACTTATTTGAGCAGAGGAGTAGCTATGTGACAGATTTGTATGACCAGATTTTAGAGCAGAGAGGTGAATAATCTAGTCCTGCAAAGTACTCTGCTGATTTGAAGTAACAAAAAATGTGATTTTATACGACTTCGATCCATGTTGCTTATGTTTAAATATTGCTGACGAAGTGTAGATTCCAACTATACCACTGTGTATGTATAGTGGGTATAGTGGCCAAATGTGAATAAGATGTGTATATTGAAAAAAAAAAAAAAAAAAGATTGACAGTGTGTACCTCAAAGCCAGCAAATAGTCACATGGGCTTTAACAAATTCATTCTCCTTCACCTCAAACTCTGTGTATAAAATAGCACAGTCTGTGTTTGTCAGGTGCGTGTACAGCAAGTGTCATCTTTCAGGCTTCCCAGCGACCCCAGAAGAAGAAAATAGCAGCATTTGTTTTATCAGGAGTAGTGACAAAATAGGGATGATGCTGCAGAACTACAAGAAATGTGATAAATGAGAGGAATCTACCACAAAGACATCCCTCTCTTGGAGATTTCAAAAATGCAGCTGACGTTCAAAAATGATATAAGTATGAAAAGTTCAGAAATTTTCTTAATGTCTTAAGGAGACATTACAAATTCAGAAAACAGTATCCATTTGGCTTAGAAACTGTTACACACATGAGTTAGTAAAAAGGAACAGATTTTGCAGTCCTATCCATATCCCTTTTTACCTGTCATTTGTATTTGAAAATATAAGAGGTTTTGTTCTTAGAATATAAGAAATTGAATGTCTTCCTCAGACATAAACAATATTGAAGTCTCAACAGATTGCATCAGTTTCTTAACTTTAAGAAACTCTGCAAGATTTTAAAGTTTTATAAGCATGAATATCTGTAAGATTCCAGGATGATATTTGCAAAGCTTTCAAGAAGACGCTTGGGGCTTTAGGGCAGCATGCTGTCTTTTAGTTATAACCAGCAGATATATCAGCTTACAGAAATCCAGGAGCCATCTAACAAAAGACGCTCCACAAAATGCGGCTGTTTCCAATGATTTTATAAGTAGCATAAATTAGTGATGGTGAACCCTGAAGACACAGGAGTATTCTTCCATGCATGTCCAGAACAAGCAGAACAAGGGGAAAAGACTAGGTTGTGCAAGGTACGCATGACAGTTATATCTGTAGTCTCGGGCAACAAGTTGCACACAGAGAACTATAGAAAGATCAAGCCCATAATCTCTCTGTGAAAAGTAGATTCATATCTTCTGAGAAAGATAGTACCATGTAATTGAGAAGTAGAGAAGGGAAGTTATACAAGGCTATTAATAAACTGCAAGCATGGAAGCAATACATTAATTTAAAAATATAATAAAGCGGCTCAGTAATTTGACTGCTTCAAAGCACCTTTTTCCACATGACCTTCATTTCTTCAGTGAATTAGTACAAAATATGCAGACCCATAACTTTAAAAAAATATTGTTTGCCTTTCTATCAGTGAAAATCTTGAGAAAATTTTAAAAAATGTACTCGTATTTATGTATTTGGCTGCAATAGATTCACTCTTTTCTGCAGCTTTTCAGCCAGAAGTGCAATGAACATAATCAGTCCAAGATGCTATGGGTTTCTGTTGCAGTGAAGACAGAAAGTTTTCAATTGCATAAATATTTATGTACTATAGTCAGAGGTGGAGTAATATGATCCTAAATAAATACTGTATGTTAAGGCTTGGTAGTTGAAATGTCTTATTTCTGGTAGATTTTGAATCATTCTGAAGATTCCACCGTTAGCAACATTTGACACATTAGACAATAAGTGAGTCCTTATAGCAACACACAAAGAATCCATTAAGTGTTTCACCTTACAGATCTAAGATGTACTTTGAAAAGCATTTCTTCATAGATCTTCTTTGTAGTGTTCATATATATTAAACATTTGCAAATTATCTCCATTGATATAGGATATCTGCTGTATTCTACAGTCTGTTATCTATTCATTCTATTTTACAGTCCTTTAGTATCTTCCACAAATAGCAAAGTACTTTTAGAAAAAAAAAAAAAATCTTTCATAGGCATTATTGTCTTTCTCTTCAGAAGCCAAACTCCAAATTTCAATATAACCTCAGTTTTATTGCTAATAGAAGTCAATTTTTTCTTCACACTTTAAAACTATCTCAGACTCTGACTAAAGCTTTTAATTTTTTTGAAAGATTCCAGGGCATCATAATCTATTCACCTACAAACAGACTGAATTCTCAAATCAGATGAAGGATAAGATATGACCTTGTCACAGCTTTGTAATGAAGCTTAGTCCTTCTGTAGGAATTCTCTCATGGGAAAGAAAACAGGGTACACAGTGAATATAAACCATACCAGCTGCATTTGAGGTGGTGTAGTTAACTGGAAGTTAACTGGTTAAACTGGAAGATGCTTTTCCTCCCCTCTTCCACCCTAACACTCAAAGTTAATCATCAAAAATTAGCACTCCCTGAGATCTGTGTTAAGCATACCAAGCTGTATACATATCAGAAACTACATTAAGTTCTCCCGTACGGTCCAAATACACCAGCTGGTTGTTTTCTGCTACAAGTTAATATATAAGTAGCAGACAAAGCTGGTCTACAGGGAGTAGATTTTATAGAATGCACCCTAGTAATATCCCAAGGCATTGCAATATCTTGAAATAGAATATCTTCTAGAGCAGGATGTGGAAAGACTGGCTGATATTTCGCTTCCTTGTCCTTTGATGAAATTTGCACCAGAGCCAAATCCCTTTGACAAAATACTTCATTTTTTGGCAAATTCAGTTTGCAAATTATAGGTAGTTTTCACATAAAAATTTTAACGCACTTCTAAATGACACTGAGTGGACAAGATATGTGGGATGTCAGATATGACTGTTCCTCCACTCCAGTGTTATTTATAGTTGAATTAATAAATGAAAGAGAGAAAATAGTCAGGCAGTAGAGTTAAAGGGGAAATTAGTTTCCAAATGAGATTCTAAAAAGAGGTGAAGAGCTGATGAAGCAGATAGACAGATGAAAGCACCAGATTTAAAGAATTAGAAAGCTGTATGACCTTGTTAATTTTTCTATCAGTTTACAGATGAATTTACTTAACTTGAGGAGTGATACCCTTTCTCACACTCTGATATTAAGCAAATACTGCTATTTCTTTGAATATTCATGAGTATGAATTAAAATGAAGCGTTCTGGGTAGGAAAATACATAAGAGAATTTGTGGAAAATGCCTTGATAGGAGTAATATGAAGATTTAAGAAAATCAATGTGTAACAAATTTTGAATGACAAAATTATTCTTACAAAGATTAATGTGAAAAATTTTATACAAGAAAATAATTTTCTCTTGCTGAATTGTATGCCTACAGTCCTATTCTGTAGTTTAAAGCAAATCTCTCTGTCTAGAAACACATGCACTATATTATTTCAAAGCCATAGAAGTATATATTCATAATATATTACATACAATGTACTTT